ATGGCTCCCAAGAATAGGTCCAAAACTTAGAAAAGAACTTAAACATTACAACGTCAGAGTAATTTTTACTACACCACCTCGTTAAAAAACAACTTATGCAACAACAAGTCAAAGTTAATTCCCAATAACAATCCCGGTGTCTACTAACTCACATGCTCTTGTGGCGGTTTATACATTGGCGAAACAAAAAAGAAAATTTTAACGAGATGCTTTGAACATCAAAAAAACTATTTAAAAGGTAAATGGGATGCATCTGGTACAACTGAACATGGTAAAGAATGTAATGGTATATTTGATTGGTCAAATCCGAAAACTCTAGCAATAAAATCAGAATACAATGAACTAAAGTTAGAGAATCACTTGAAATTAATTACGCTTTAACATACCAGGAAATAAATCACTCTCCTATACTTCTCAACCGTGGCAATGGCGTTAAAATTTCTACAAACAGTTGGAGACTCTTTTTTTAAAAAAAAATTATCCAAAAAAACGGACTTATATAATATTTGCTAATTATATATTTACATTGTTACGCTTTATATTATATATATATATATATATATATATATATATATATATATATATATATATATATATATATATATATATATATATATATATTCACGTACAACAAGATATGACATTGAAACATATATATATATATATATATATATATATATATATATATATATATATATATATATATATATATATATACATATATATATATATATATATATATATATATTTACATATCACACCCCACTGGAAGAAGGTTCAAATCAAAAAAAATGTCCCAGGGTCATGTGATCCGTACTGACCTCTACTTTATTAAAAATATGTATAAGTCTTATAAATATCTTTTAAAATTAATTCTTGAAATGTGTTCGTCAACTATTATAAACAATAAACTATCTCAACAGTTTTGATTGGTACAATTTGTGACAACTTGGAACTTTGTATCCTTGCTCATAAAACTGTTTGAAGTCATAATGAACAGATTCAAAAGCCTGTTTTGACCAAACACCAAAATCTTTTCCGACGTACAGCCATTGATTTCAAAAAAGCTGGTACATAGATGACTAGCGCACACACTTTTAGGAAAACGTTTTCGTTCAATGCCATATATGTTTCCTTGTAGAAATTAATGTGATTCTTGTAAGAAATGTCCAAACTTAGACGAAATCAAACTTTCTTCACATTATTTAGTGCTTTCATTGCACTCATAAGTTTTATCAATTCACCTGGTATAACTTCGAAATTGGATTTGAGAATATTGTCTAATGTTTCAATGTTATCCAATAGCTTTGAACACTGTCCTTCCTTGAACTCCCGCTGTGTAATCTTGGCCTAATAAATTCAATCGATTTATTCCACATATCTATGGAAATTTCCTGTTTCTGTTTTTAAAAGTATTTTATCACCTATATTAAACAAACAGTTTGTGTTTCTAGAAAATAAATGTAGCTTAATTGGAGTAAGGATCTCTGCAACAGATGTATCATCTGGGAGGTCTATCAAAGGAGTTTGAACACAATTTTTAAATAGTGCAGCCGAGAGTTTACTTTTTTTCTGTGATTCTTTGAGTTTGAGAACTTGGTTTTAGGTTCATTCACTTTACAACCAAGAATATTTAATCAAACCTTTAGAAATCCTCCTTTACCATCTATTCCAATCTTTACAATATAATCTGGTTATATATCTCTTTTTTTCACTAGTTGATTTGTTAGCTCAAACACATTTGTACAGTAGACTAAATATTTTGTTTGCTTATTGATTTGAAGTCTTGCAACATTAAAAAACGATCTAAAACACAGTCTTGAAACACAAGTTTTTCTTTTAGATTGGTATGAAAAAATCTCTTCCTATTCAGCTCCTAAGAACACTACAAGCAGTTTCTATTTGGGAATCACTTAAGTCTAGTAGATTTTTGAATCTTGTGACTTCACTAGCTAGCTCCTAGTTTTCAGAAAAAAGGGCTTTCAACTCTATTTTATGTGGAACTTTGATATTAAAATTTTAGGCTCTTTGTAAGCAAGCTTTATTGAATCACCTGCATCCACTTCAGATAATACAAAAAAGCTCTGTCTGAAATATATTAATATATTTCATATAACAATCTCATCTGAAATATATTAAAACATATAATATCCTAATATATTATATCTTTAACATCAAAAAATGTATGAACCCACATAATACTATATTTTATTGGTTTTAACGTAAATTATTATTGCACAAGTGGTTTTAGGTTAAATAACTATTATATATATACATACTGAAATACCTCTAGACAGAGCCGCCTCAAGATTATTACGAATTGAAATATTGCAAGAGTGAGGCAAACCGCGTTCTAATGTACATAGACATCTTTGACAAACAGGGGAGGTGACAGAACTAATTCAGTGGATACTTGTCTTCCTTTTATTTATGATTTTTCCTGATCCTTGGTAGTTTTCCTTGCAACAACGCAAACTGTAATCTCACACTCAAACTGCACACTCACATGTAGTCTGACTTCCTGTTCCAGAAAAATCATATGGTGCTGGAAGTGCATTTGGTTCTTTTATACCTTTTTCAATGAGTTCCAGAAATTTATGTTGCGCGAACAGATACCAGAGGGATAATTCCAAGTCTAAATTTAAGATAAAATAATTTTGAAGTCTTTTATAGGTTGGGCCAGTGCAAACTTTTTTTTGACTATCTTCGTGGTTTAATGCCTGATTAGGCATCATTGAAGTACTAGTGGTAGTTTTACTAGTGGTGGTATTTTTTTTGGTTTGAACCTACTTCCACCGGGATGTGCATGGTATATATTATATTGCTTAAACATTTATACCAAGGATTGGCAACCTGCGGCATGCAAACCTCATTTGGTTTCGATGTGTCTTTCAATGTCAAGATGCACCTTTTTAGCTCCATGTACAAATAATAAGATAATATTGAAATAAAGAAAACAAGAAATTTTAAAGTGTTTGTAACACTTTAAAAACAGAATTTTTAAATAGTTACAAACACTTTAAAATTTTTAAATCTGTTCTCAAATCATGTACCAAATCTTTATTTTAATATTATATTAATATTTGTGCATGGAGCTAACAAGCCGCATTAACCGCAGGTTGTCCACACTTGGTATTCACGTTTAAATAATATAGTGTAGACTAAGTACTTGCATAAGTCTTTTTTGTTTTCACAACAGACTAAAACTTTGTAAATTGCAACTTTTGGCTTTTTATTTGCATTGCAGACAAACCAACAACAACTTTGAAAACATCCCGAATGTGCTTATTTAGTTTTGTACGTGCTGGGTCTTTTTAAAACACAACGCGGTTTTTAAAAAGTAGGAATATAAATAGCTTTATTAAAGTACTGAAGGTTTGGCGAGTAGGGTAAAGTCGGGTAGCCCCGGACAGCGGGTAACTCCGGACACTTGATGTACAGCTTAGACTAAAGAAGCTAGGTGACTTTTAATACTTGAATAACATTATTCGAGTGAAAATAAGGTATATCCAAAATATCTATCATAAAATGCCAAAGCGAATGACTGAAAGGGCAATATTTTGTTTCCCACCACCAGAAGAGCGACGAATCATCATATTTGATTCACATAATAATATACCAAATTTTTATGTAAAGTAATAACTTTTTAATAATTGAAGATATATTTTTATTTACAATAGTTATTAAAAAAAAAATTCGTCAAGAAGTTTAGTTGACTGGTTTTAAAACTAGTATTTATGATTGAGGTATGATCGGGTGGTATCGAACACATGTTTGGAGGGTGGCTCCGGACAACTAAACTCGTTTACATATTAATAATAAACAACTTTTTTAATATAAATATTAATACATTTAATATAATACACAAACCTATAACAGTAATTCATTTAATTCCAATAAAAAAACATTAGATTTGAAAAAAGTGTTTTTAAAGTGTTTATTTACATTAAAAAAAAAGCTTATGTTTATATTTTTAAATGATGACATTTTCATTCTCATTCCTTATATATTAGAGGTAATTTTTAAAGGCAATTTTTTTTTTAAATGTGTCGAGAACAGTCCAATGCTAAATTATTATATATTACATTTGTGTCCCACTGGTAAAAAAGAGGTAAAATCATGGTTAAACGATGTGTCCGGGACTACCCTCCAATTTTGAAACATGCCTTTTTTCTAACATTTTTTCTTTTATGTTTTGTATATTGTTATGGTACACAATAATTATTTTTTTGTTTCTAATTCGATAGATGAATGTTTGAACTTTTAAAAAAAGTCTTTTGACACTTTTTTTTTTCTGTTAGCACATGCGCACAATCTATATTCCGCGGTGCTCTGTGATAAGACCGTAAGGACTTCTTGGGGCACCTAAATCAACATTTAAAAAAAAAAAAAAAAATATATTTTCCTTAAGTGTCCGGGGCTACCCGACTCTCCCCTATGTAATACAGGACTGCAAACGCTACCTAATTTTTCTTTTTTTTAGTAACTAAATTTATTAAAAAAAGGAAACTGTTGACGTCAGCTTGTATTTACTCCCCCTCCCCTTTGTCAACAAATGTCAAAAAAAAATCAGACCCCCCTTCTCCCCCTTATTTTGTTGACGTAATTTATGGACATCCCCTTATGACTATGATTGTAGGAATCTTTTATAATGCAAAAGTAGGCTTTAGTAGTAGGCTTAATTGCTAGCAATTTAATCGCATTAATATTTTATCTATTATTAACTGTTTTATTAATTAAATTATCATTTAAATGCATTTATTTCCTTTTCTTTTAAAAAGAAATAATCTCCGTTTATTATAAATAAATATAACATATTCTGCTTGTGTTGTGTTATATCAACTAGTGTTGTGTTTAAATTTTTTAATTCAAGTTTTATGTTATACCAAAAACAAAAATGTGTCAAATAAACATCCTATTATTCTATTATCGATCTAGTGCAAATAAAAAACCATATAACCCGCAATAGCGCACAAAAGCTTGTTAAAGTAATTAAAAAATAATAATAATTAATTACAAATCAGTGAAACTAATATCATGTCTACAATTAAAAAAGTTAAAAGATATTTATAAGTAATACTTAAACACATCCTTTAACTTTTAAATATGCAAAACACTGTTAGTTGCAAACCACTAGATATACTTGGATGACTCGAATCAGAATGAAAAAAAAAATACTTTTTTCTTATTATTTTATCAGCTTAATCGTAGCTTTCAAATTAGCCATGGCGCAGTAGTTACAGTTCTTGCTCTGAACCAAGAGGTTCTGAGTCAGGCTCGACGTTGACTCCAACTCAATAACCGACATTGGTAAGGAAGGAGGCGTGAATTTCCTAGTTTAATTTTCTTTCACACTGTTTTGTGATAAGACCGTAAAGACTTCTGAAAACACCTTAATAACCAGACTAAAAAAAAAAAAATCTTTTTTATTTTCTACTTCTATTTAAAACTGTCACCGACTACATTTTTGTAGTCAGTGAGGTTGACATATTTTGTAAAAAGCCTTTTCGCTGGTGATCTTATAAAATGTTACATTTTTATATATAACAAAAAGAATTATGTAAATACTCTATATTTCACACTACATTATAACAAAGTTGTTTGGATGTTTTATACCAGTTTATATAACCATGAGATTCTTTAGTGAAAATTTTCTATCAGTATTTAAATAATTCTAAAATAAAAATTTAAACGCAAAACCTAAAAAGCTTTAATCGTTAAACAATAGTCTCTTTTGAATCTAAACGTAGAATTAGACGTGAAAAATCTCAACGAAGTGTGTAAAATGTGCTTTAAAATTGCGTTAATGAATTAGTATAACAAAAAAAAAAAAATCCTTTTTTGTTTTTAATATTATATTGGCTTACGAAACGAAGCACCTAATTTGAGTATCTATTTTGGAGTGATTTTTATTTTTTTCATAAATTATACTTAATAAATAAAATGTAATTTATGAGTAAAACGCCGAGATTATTTTTCGATGAAATATATTCGAGCAAAAAATACTTTTTCAACTACAATGTTTACTAACGATATTTAGAGAGTAAACTAAGGAAACTTTATAAAACATTTATTAAATATCATTTAAGAAACATCGAATAACAGTTTCATTTTATCTTTTTAATATGCGTGAAAAATTATCAATAAATATGCTATAAGTAATCACAAGTGATAACATTAAACTGTAAGATAGTTATTTACACGCAAAAAAGAAAATGTTCTTTTAAAAATCCGAACAACTATAAATAAAGAAAAATAAAACATTTTATTCATATATATATATATATATATATATATATATATATATATATATATATATATATATATATATATATATATATATATATATATATATATATATATATATATATATATATATATATATATATATATATATATATATATATATATATATATATATATATATATAGAGAGAGAGAGAGAGAGAGAGAGAGAGAAAGAGAGATTTTCTTCACGTTATAATTATGTAGATAAATGTTTAGCTACTTAAAGAAAACTATTCTAATATTAAAAAAAAAGAACCTAAACAAAACGGCCTGGTCTTCTTATCAATGGAGAGAACTTCATTGCAATTTTTTTTATGTTTTGCACTTTTGATTGAGTATTATCATTCTTTTTATGGGTTGGTTTGGAAATTTGAGATGGTACTGGATCTTTGAAAAACTTATTTAATAGCAAGTTCATTCGAGTTTTTTCTTGGTGCTTTTCTTTTTTATCGACACTTTTTTGCAGATCACCAAAATCAGAACTACTGCTTTGTTGAATTTTCAAACTGCGTGCTGTATATTTTTCAGCTAAACGTTTGTTAACAAATTTACAAAGAATGTTAAGATTAGTCAAATCAAATACTTTATACAAGTTTTATATGTTTTAAAATAAAACCTTTACCATTGTGTGCATTAGATGCTAATATAAGAACAAAGATACACACGCGAATAACAAACATCATTTTAAAAGATGCTTTTATTAGATGCTCTTTGTCATCCAACACTTGATCATCCAACACTTTAGACTTTCTTCAAGATATAGAAGCCAAAATCTTTATTTTATTTACGTGAGGCAAAATTTAAATTTAAAATTTAAAAAATAACTTATATAAGCTTTATAAACAATGAAATGAATAAGTACTTTTATATTAAATAAAGCAGCGGTATAAAAACACTGGATCAAAGGTCATAATTGAAATAATTTAGCATTGAGCCATTAACAGGAGGTAGTAAATCCCCAATACGCGTCTTAAGAAAATTGTTTTATATTTTTCTAAACTAATTTTAGAATATTTAAAAAATTATTATGGTAGGTTTTAGCCTTCTGTCTATAAACGGTTTACACTGTCTATACAAACCCCCGTTTTACGCAATAACAAATAGTTAAGCAAGCTAATTACATTAATGTAATCCAAGCTATATGTAAAGCCTTTAAATATTTAAGATTTACATTTAATATTTTTAAGAATATATCCTTATTGAAACAAGGCGTTTTTTTTAAATAAATGTAACATTATATATATATATATATATATATATATATATATATATATATATATATATATATATATATATATATATATATATATATATATATATATGATTTAAAGGATAACATCTTGTGTGAGAGTATATTTATATATTATTTTAAAACATCAAAAATACGATTTCTCTCAACACTTATAATTTTTTATTATTATAGAAATTTTCGCTGGATTTTAGATACCAGCTTCTTCAGCTTGTTAAATGTTACAGTAATTAATAAAATCGTTATAATTTAAATTAAAACGTTGCTATTGACGTCAGCGGTTGAATGGCTTCTTTTTCGCTGAAATTTAATTAGTGATCCCATCCCGCCTCGTATGTATGGTGTAATCAAAGCCCACAAACCTGAAAAATTCTATCCTATGAGAATAATTATCTCCACAATCGGCACAGCAAACTACGGAATATCTGAGTTCTTAGTTAAGATAATACAGCCAGTTTTGAATGAAAACTTGACAAGATTAAAAAATTCCTTTGACTTTATTAAAAAAGCTGAATCTTGGAAAATTGAAGATGAAGTTCAGGTATCTTTTGATGTCGTAAATATGTATCCGTCGGTTCCTTTAAAAGAAGCCACCCTTGTACTTATAGAAAAATTAAATAATAATACAACATATAAAAAATTAACCAGACTAAGTATACCTGAAATAAAACAACTTATAGAACTTTGTTTATTTCAATGTTATTTTCATTGGAACAATGAAATTCATATAATGGAAAACTCGGGTCCAATTGGACTTTCGTTCATGGTCGTTCTTGCAGAATCATTTCTACAATTCCATGAAAACAATGCAATTAAAATTGCACTAAATTTCAACCCTGCACTTAACCTCAAATCGTTCTTAAGATATGTCGATGATAGTCACGCAAGGTTTCCAGATCTCAATCAAGCAAAACATTTCCAATACATTTTAAATCAACAACACCCTTCCATCCAGTATACAATTGAAGTTGAAAACGAGTTAGGAACACTAAATTATCTGGATATACAAATTATGAATAAAAAAACAGGAAAGTATGAATACAAAGTGTATCGGAAAGATGCTATCACTAACATTCAAATTAAGCCACACTCAAATCATGATCCAAATATCTTGAACTCTATTTTTAAAGAATTTCTCCACCGAGCTTACTCAATTTGTAGTAAGTCTTACTTGAAAAATGAAATAAATTTTCTAATTGACGTGTTTATTGAAAATGGTTACGATAAAACTCAAATGATGAATATTGCGCATCAGTTTTAACACAAAAGACAAAATAAAATTACAATTCCATCTGAAATCAATAATTATCCTGTAGTTTCCTTACCATGGGTACCCGGTCTCTCGCCAAAACTTAAGATCCCTGTTAACATCAAAGGTGGGTACCCGGTCTCTCGCCCAAACTTAAGATCCCTGTTAACATCAAAGAATAAATCAAAATTACCTAATAACAGTCAACCAGGAACATATATAATCAAATGCAACTGTTCAAAAGTGTATGTAGGCGAAACAAAAATGAAAGTAAACACACGAATGCATCAACACCAAAAAAGCATTGATGAAAATAAGCAGCATCAATCCGCATTAGCTCTGCATAAAACATTTTGCAAAAAAGAAATTATTTGGGAACAAACAAAAACATTGAAAGTAGAAAATAAAAAATTTGAAAGAAAAGTTAGGGAAGCCCTAGAAATACAAAAAAACATGTGTTCTGCAAAAAATGGCGGGATTAATCTCGATGAGGGTCAATACGTAAAAACTAAGTTTTAGACGCCATTTTTTAAATTTCAGCGAAAAAGAAGCCATTCAACCGCTGACGTCAATAGCAACGTTTTAATTTAAATTATAACGATTTTATTAATTACTGTAACATTTAACAAGCTGAAGAAGCTGGTATTTAAAATCCAGCGAAAATTTCTATAATAATAAAAAATTATAAGTGTTGAGAGAAATCGTATTTTTGATGTTTTAAAATAATATATATATATATATATATATATATATATATATATATATATATATATATATATATATATATATATATATATATATATACTTATATATATATATATATATATATATATATATATATATATATATATATATATATATATATATATATATATATATACATATATATATATATATATATATATATATATATATATATATATATATATATATATATATATATATATATATATATATATATATATATGTATATATATATATATATATATATATATATATATATATATATATATATAAGTATATATATATATATATATATATATATATATATATATATATATATATATATATATATATATATATATATATATATATATATATATATATATATATATATATATATATATATATATATATATATATATATATATATATATATATACATATATATATATATATATATATATATATATATATATATATATATATATATATATATATATATATATGAATATATATATATATATATATATATATATATATATATATATATATATATATATATATATATATATATATATATATATATATATATAAATTTTCGCTTACATTAAAATGTCACTGTACAATTATATACCGTGTTATAATTAAAATAGTTACAACATTTATCAGCATAATTAAAATTAGAAAAAAATACACTCATATATAAATTTATAAATATAAGCATATATACACTTACAAATGTATAGATGCGCACATACATAAACTGCTAATAATGAAACATAAGCTAGGATCTGAAAGAACATCACAAGATCTTGTCGTCAGAATCTTATAAAGTACAAAAAAGCAAATTAAAAATATATAACATATTTTGTGACAAACAGGTCATTTAAAAAACTTTTGTTTTTCATATCGTATTTTTTAAGTTTGAGTTTGAAAGTATTATTAAAAACGGTAGGGGATAGATTATTTCTCCATAAATATACGAAACATAAAAAATATATTGAGTTCGAATAAATATAATAATCTCATTTCAGTAAAAATAGGTTTTGTATGTGTAAAACAATCAGCATAGTTAATTATGCGGATCGAATGTTTTTGACGACGATTAAGAAGTTTTAATTTTTATAAAGAAGTTAAAAAAGTTTTAATTTTTTTTTTTACTTTTTACATTAGTTTTACTTTTTACAGTAGTCCCAAGCAGTGTTAACATAATTTATGTGACTGTGGATAAACGAGTAATAAAGTTGGCTTAAGCAATTTTTATTAAGGTAGTTACAAGCTTTATATAGAATCCCAATGTTTTTTGAAATTTTAGTAGATACATAATTAATTTGTTAATTCCATGAGATGTTTTTATTGACATAAACACCTAAGAATTTGTAACGATATCATTTTATTTATTATTTCAATTTTGTCTATATAAAGTTGCAGCAAGTTTGTTGGTAAAAATCGTTTTTTAGCATACAAATGGAATAGAGTCCATATGATTTCATTATTATTTAAAGAAAGCTTATTATATTAAAACCAGTTTGATATATGTCTTATTTCTTTATTTATAGTGCTAAAAGGTTCATATAAATATTACTGTTTGAGAGGAATAGATTGGTATCATCTGCGTACATAATACTTATAAGGTTAGAAGCTCTATTCAAAACATTTATATACATCAAGAAAAGTAGGGGTCCGAGGATTGAACCCTGAGGAACACTGCTTACGATATCAAGATAATTTTTTTGATAACCGTCGTTACAAATTACAAGCTATTTTCTTTTTGCTAAGTAGCTTCTAAACCATTTTAAAACGGTACCATTAATTCCATAATATTTAAGCTTTTGAAGTAAAATATGATGATCTACTGTGTCAAAAGCTTTTGATAGGTCAATAAAGATACCTAACAAGTGTTGTGATTTGTCAAAAGATTTCGTGCACAAGCTGGATTCACGGTCGTTTAGATATTAGTAAAAAGCGCTATGTTTAGGTACGCATGCGTAAGAAAATACGAAAAACTTTTGAACTTTTAAAACGGCTACGGTTCTTACCTACAGAGAATAATTTATATGGCAACAGATTATTTGTTTATTAGTTTCTGAAAAGCCAATGATGTAGCCTTATTTTTAACGTAAATCAATATAACAATACGAAAATTTCACAAAAATATAAATAAATAGAGGTAACAAAAATCTTTGCGCGTTTAAACTTTATTTTTATTTAATACCTTTTTAGTGTAAATTATAGATTTGTTTATTTATTTGAAATCATTTTCTAAAAATCTGACCAAGAACAAAAGTTTTGATATGGATGCATTTTTTGTTACATGTAGAACAATAATAATCTTAGGACTTTTCATAAGTTTTATTTTTTTATTAGTTATTTTTATTTAAAAAAAAAGCACAAGTATGCCATCATAGGCAACTACTGCTTCTATGATGGCAAAGGAAAGGATGGGGTTGGTTAGCATCAAGGGTAACTTGACCATTTCATTTGACCTAAGAGTCTTCCCTCAAAAATGCTAGAACTACGCGTAATCATCCTAATTAATCCATTCGTGCTACACAGCATCAGTGTCAAATTTCGCGCATGCGCATAAGAGATATTGCGTTTTATGTGTTTTTTGAACCATAAATTTTTTAGTGAATAA